CTAATTGCATGGATTTGAGTCTTTCCCTTTTTAAAATAATGTTAGCTAAGGGTCTGTCAATTTTCTTTAATCTTTCAAAGAATCAACTCTTCTATTCATTGATTCCTTGCATTCTTAGTCTCCATTGCATCAACTTCTGCTCTGATCTTTCTAATTTCCTCCTCCACACAAGCTTTGGACCTGATGTGGCTCTTCTTTTTCCAGAAGCTTGAGGTTCAACATTAGGTTGCGTATTTGAGTAAGACAGTGTTGTGCCTATGTCTAGATGTCCCCCAGAGCCTCATGTGGCCATAGGTGGGGCTTAGCGGAGGTGGCTAGGTCTAGAGTGTGTGATACTGGGATCATGAGTGTGGTGCTAGGATCAAGGGTATGTGATTACTAAATTAGTCCATTGATTGATTTGGCATAGTTCTGGATGTGGATGATAGGAAGACCCACACCCATCCTTCATGCTAACCTGCCATAGCATATTGGATGGTTTATACTTTCATTTCTGACATAGTAAATATACTTATATTGTCTACCTTAGTCTGCACAAAGGGTATGTAGCCTGGATAGACTATAAAGGACAGAAAGAGGGCTGCTGCCATTGCTTGCTGCTTCTCTGCTACTTTGCTGCTTTGATGCCTTTTACCTGCCATAAACTGTTTCTCCTCTTCGATGCCCTTCTGCCGTGCCACCCTGCCTTGCAGCCAGTCAACTATGGACTGAAACCTCTGCAAACTGTAAGCTAAATAAACCTTTCATTCTTTAACTTTGGGTGTCAAGTATTTTGTCTCAGTAAATAAGAAAAGTCACTAAGACAGGTAATGTTAGCAAAGCACAAAGACCTGATACAAGATAAACTCCCCAAACCTGGTGGTTAACATTATCAACCTATTCCAAATGACTCCACCAGTAAGTGGGGTCACTGAAATCTGAGCCAAGTCTTCTTGAATCCAAACCCTCTGAGAAGTCTTTGCAATCTGCACATGGTTACAAGCCACAGAGACTCTTGTCCCCAAATATTTCATGTCACATGTTTTCAGTATGTGGCAGACTGCCCACTTTCTAAGTCCCACAAGGAAGGAGTGCGGACCCTTCCCAGTGGGTGACAACACTCATGAACATGCTTACTTAGCTAAGTACTTACAGAAGATAGATGACATTAAGCCTCCCAAACAGCTTCTGCGTAAATTTTCTAATGAGTTTTTTGATATAATAAATATCCTGCGATTCTGTTCTTCGGCAGTGAACCACTTCTGCCTTTCCTCTGGGAGAAGTAAGCACGGACATTTTGTCTCCTGTCCCCAAAAGAGAGAAAAAAGTCCATGTTAATCTGAGATGACAAGTTGTCCAGTTACAGAACTCACAAAACTGGACATTAACTCAATTTCCACATGGTCAGAGAGAATGTGGTATGTGAATACTGGCGCAACATACTGTCCCCTGGGAGTGTCTGTGTTGACCATCACCACAAGCCTGCTGTAGTGATGCTCCACTGGACAACGAAGCTTCTCAGATTTCACCTGTCTAGAAATCCCTAGAACTGTATTCTTTGTTTCCAACAAAATTGCTTCAAAATCTTTCAACAACAGGATTGAAAAACACTGAAAGGATTTATTTTCCGATTCAGTGTCCACCATATTTAATCATCCACTTCACCTACAGCATGTAGTCAGGAGGTGCAGGGGAAATACTGAGAGCTGCCACCCAACTCCCAAACAGAATTCCCCAACCTGGAGTCCTGAGGACAGCAGTCTTGAAAGATATTTGGAGGCAATAAAGTTCTGTGGCCAAATGAGTGTAGGAAGTCTTCCTGAGGGGTCACCTTGGCTGCTGCTATGGCTGGAAACGTCCCCTCAAAACATGTGTCCTTGGTCAGCAGCCTACAGCGCTCCTGGGAGGTATCAGAACCTTTAGGGAGAGAGGCATGCTGGAAGGAAGCTGGGTCACTGGGGACTGTGCTTGAGGGCATATTGGGACCCTGGGCCTTTCCTCTCTCTCTCTCTGCTTCCAGTTCTCCTCCTCTGTTATATACTCACTTCAGGAGATACAGGGACACCACAGCACAAATCAACAGGGCCAAGCAGCCTTGGACCAAACCCTTAAAACTGTGAGCCAGAACGAAACTTTCCTCCTGGTAAGCTGATTGTCTCCGGTATTTCGTCACAGTGATGGAAAGACTAACACAACCATTAATGGCTTTGAAAAGCTCCATAATAGTGACATGCTTTCCCAATCTTTTCTGAGCAGAATCTCTAATGGCAGCAACAGTGGAAAAAAGTTCTATAAAGACACCACCGGGTTTCAGCCACTCTCAGTATCTCAGTCTGTCTCTTTCTCTTATCTCTTCCTTCCTCCCCAAGGAAAACTGATTTATTAAACACTAATCAGTGAGCTTAAAAACACAAAAATTCGTTTTTAGCATCATGTTGCAGCTAAGCACAATATGGAACATTCTCTACACCCCAGAAGGATGGCTTATGGCAAATCCCCCGCCAGAGAGGACCACTATTTTGAATTCCACCACATATTTAATCCAATTTTTAACATAAACAGATTTATAAGGTATGGTTTTCCCCACAAAACACATGCTCTCATCTAGCAGTTATATCCATAAACCAAAACACTTGAGTGCTGTAGGATCTGGAAAAAGCACTGGACGGAGCTCCTGCTCCATCAGTGAAAGAAACCAAGACACAAAACTGGAAGTGACTTTCCTCAGAACACACATGTTGGTTCAGAAGTAGGACCTTGGGTGCCTCCTGCCAGCACAGCCTCTATCCCTGCCCCCTGCATGCTTTGTGGGTAAATGGTCCCTGTCCTCACTGCCCTCTGGGCTTCAGATTGTACTTTAGCTCAAGTGCTCTTAACCACACACCTTCACCCACCAGGTGCAAGGTACGGGGTGATGCAGAGGAGATACGGGGGAGACAATAGGAGGACAGCTAGGAGTCATCCAGAGGCCTCAGCCACCAACTTTGCAAGTTTACAAAGAGTTTGCACCAGCACCCCAAGTCACACCCCACTCCCAGGACAGCTCCATATCGCTCAAACTCACAAACACTGACACGAGGATGCCAAAATGCCAGTTTATTCATTTCTTAATAATTTCTCATTTTATGATGAGAAAACCAACAGAGGTACCTTGGGGATATTTCTGCAGCGCAGGCAGTCACCAAGGTACAGGGTTGAGAACCAGTGCGAACCATTCCTGCCACATGCTGTGTGACCATGCCCTGGAGTCCTGTGCCCACCCACTACAGTGAACCCTACCCCTGCCAGTCTCTGCTTTAGCCTGGAGCAAATGCCGGCTCAGAAAGCAAAGGAAGGAAATCTTGCTACTCATGTTACAACTCCAAAACTTGAAACATTGCCTCCATTTTTACCACACTCTGCAGAAAGAAATAAACATGCCTTTAAACTGTGGCACTCTCCCTTTGTAGATCAACCATAGGAGGCCCACTCAGTACAGTAGCTTCTAAAGGAGTCTAAAGAGTACGTATATTTATAGCAATTCTTAGAAATAGAGAAAAGAAGCACTCACCACCTACAGGCTTTTAAAAATGATTTGTTAGGTTTAATAAACATGTTATGCAGGGAGGCAGATCACATGAATGTCTTTTAGCAGACAAAAATTTTTAAGTGGTGTCAAATTGAATTCATCAGTTAATTGTTTAAACGAGGGTGCATGGGTAGAAGGTAAACAAAAGTACTGTGTTTCTTAAGGGAAAAGATGTGAATCTGTCTTACTTTAGGGAAACCTTTGAAGCTATGATGGACATACATCTAAATGTATGTATGTTTCATTATATTGCTCTTAAGACTTAAAAAAAATAAACAGAGAAAAGAGAAATAAAAATCAAGAGAATAGATAATAATTTAAAAAGAATAGAGCCGGGCGTGACAGCGAACGTCTGTAATCCCAGTATTCGGGAGGCCAGGGCAGGAGGATCGTTGCGGGTTTGAGGCCAGCCTGAACTGCATATTGAGACCTTGTCTCAAAATAAATAAATAAATAAATAAATAGCAACTTTTACAATGGAAAATATGGTTATTAATATTTAAACTAATTGCATAATTTAAAACGTTACATTTTAGAAAATGAATGAAGACAGTTACAAATTGTCTAGAAAGAAGCAAATAGAAAATACAAAATGTGGTTGAGACATGTAAGACAAACAATCTGTCTTACAGGAGGTTGGCAACAGAGATGCTTCGTGTGGAGCAGGGCAGGAGGTACATGGGAAATCTCCGCACCTTCTCCTCAATTTTGCTGTGAACATAAAACTCTTTAAAACTTTATTTTACAACTTCTCTTAACCATTCGCCTTAATTATTCTGTTTGTGAAGGCAGGTCAAGTACTGCACCAGCTCACATTTTCTGGGCATTTTACACAGATTTCTCTTCAGACCTAAGGGTATTAGAATTAGTATCTTTATTTTATACTTGACAGCACTGCTAAATTTTCCTCGGAACATTTAGGTAGTGAAGGCACAATCGCAATTTTAATTTCTTTACCACAGGGCTGAGTGGCTACTTACACTGATTTGTTCTCCCTTTTCCCTCACACAGCAATGTTTTGTTTTGTGTTTGCACTGCGGCCTCACGCACTCCAAGCGAACTCTACCCGCGAACGCCTTTGCTAGCCAGTATCTAGGATTTAGAAACGTCTTGCCTCAGTTCAAATTCCGAGCCTCTGCGTTCGTACTGGACCGTCACCGTCCGCAAGCAGCGGCAAAGAGCGGCCTCGGAGTGAGTGCACGGCTCGGCGCCCTGCCGGACCCAGCCAGAGCGCGCCTCCTCTCCCCGGGCCGCCAACCGCTGCTCCTCAGGGCCCCCGGTCCTCCCGGTCCCGCAGACTGACGCGAGAAACGCCGCAAACCCACCTCTCCACAACTCCGGAGGCCTCACTCCACCCCCTCTCGGGGAGGACGCGCTGCCCCGTTACCACGGAAACCGAGCAAGTAATGGTGCGGGCGTGACGTCAGAGGTCAGCGGCGAGTTCCGCTTCCGGTTCCGGGCCCAGCTTGTTTTTAGGTTCGGCGGTCTGCAAGTCTTCGGAGTGGGTTTCTGGCGCTGGCCTGGCGCGTGATCCGCCGAGATCGGTTCCGCGGACATGGCGGCCTCCACAGCAGCCGGGAAGCAGCGAATTCCCAAGGTGGCCAAGGTAGGCGACGGCGGGGAGGGAGGCTCAGCAGAAGAATGCTGTTCCGGGAAGCTCCAAGGTGCGGGCCCGAGAAGACGGGAGGGAGGGTCGGCCGGGGGTCGTGTCACCCGGGGTGACAGTCATCCCCGGGAGTCGTGTCTTCCCGATCGCGATTCTGAGGAGCAGCCGCGGGGTCGCTGTGGAGCTTTGCAGCAAGCCATGCAGCAGTACCCAAGGGAAACGCTAGCGGCTGGGACTAGCAGCCTCCCCGGTGTCGCTGGGCTCAGGGTCCTCAGAGTCAGCCTTGGGCTGGGGATATAGCTCAGCGGCGCAAGCGCCTGCCTGGCAAGCGCATGGTCCTGAGTTCGATTCCCAGTACTTAAAAAAAAAACAACCAAAAAAACAAAGAAACATAGTCAGCCTTGCCGAGGACGTCACATTTCAGCTGAGAGTGAAGGCTGAGTGGGAGTTTGCCCAGCGGTTAGTGGAGGGTTTCAGATTAGACTTAATGTGAGCTACTTAAACAGTGGGTTTATCTGATGGTTTCATCGATGGCTGATGCTCACCAAGGGTTATGTGGGGGCCTGGTCCTCAGCTTTTACAGGTACTTTTCCTCCAGCCTGTCATTTTCAGTCCAGAGTTCCCTTGAGCTTGACCTTTAGGTACCTTGTTCAGGTGACTTCCACAGCACTTAGTGCTTGTTAATAAGCACTGTCATCATTATTTCACACATGACATGAAGTAATTTCTTATAAGTTAGTTTGTTAACTACTTCTTTTGATTGAGCTATAGTGTTACAATGTTGCCCAGGGGGTCTCTAACTTTTAGGCTATAATGATCCTCCCGTCTTAGCCTCCCTAGTAGCTGGGACACCAGGCATGCACCACCATACAGGGAATTTCAATTCCATAAAACATTATTGGGCACCACTGATTCAACAAAAATTGTATGCCAGCCACATACATAATTTAAACTTATAGTCAGATTTAAAAAGCAAAACTGGTGACCTTAATTTTAGTAATATATTTTACTTAACCTAGTATATCTAAAATATAATTTCAGTGTGCCATTAATATAATAGTTTAACAAGAGTTTGTTCTTTTTTTATAGACTAAGTTCTACAAGCCATTGTGTGTTTTACACTTACACGTCCAACCCAGGTTGGCCTCACCGAATTGCTGGTAGCCACTGTGTCAGACAGCATAGCTCTGAGACCTCAGGAAGCTTAGAGTAATTGTGGGAACAGAGTACATTTAAATTAATTTAAATTACCTGCTGTGGTGGTGCAGACCTATAATCCCATCACTCAGGAGACTGAGGCAGGGGGATTGAAGTGAGTTGGAGGCCAGCCTGCACTACAAAGTGAAACACTATCATCAATCATTCAATCAACTTAAAATGTTATAAAGAACCCAACCAAGTCGTCCATTAGGAGCATTAAAACAAATTGAAGAATTCTGTAAATAAAGGTTGGAATGGATAAGAAACTGTTTACATCTTGATAAAGCAAGGCCTCTAGTGAGAGTTTTACCTAGATAGTTTATTATTATGCTCACCTGGAAGGGAAATTTTCCTTTTTTGGTTTTAGTACCTTTTTCTCTTGAGACTTTTAACTATTTATAGTAGATACCATGTGTGAGATAGAAAAAATTTAATCAGCCTCATAAAAGAATGTGAATATGTCATGCAAAAAGAGTATCCTCTAACCACACTTAAGTTCACGTCCTAAATAGTGTATGCTTATCTCTTAAACATTCTTAAACCCTGTGTGAAGAGGTTCTGCCAAAAATAGAAATGTCTTCTTTCTTAAAAGGTAAAAAACAAAGCCCCAGCTGAAGTACAGATAACTGCTGAGCAACTCTTAAGAGAAGCCAAAGAAAGAGAACTTGAGCTTCTCCCGCCTCCACCTCAGCAGAAGATCACAGATGAAGAAGAGTTAAATGATTATAAACTAAGGAAAAGGAAGGTGAGTCGGCATAGTATCTTTTAGTCTGTTGAATTGGTGTAAGTCTGTCACATATAGTGTGATCGTTACTCTAACCACTTGAATAATGTAACTTCTGGTTGCTGCATCTCACTGAAAGGTATAAAATATACCAGAAGTTATCTGTTTAAAAGAAATTAAATCTGCCAGAGACATGATTTTTGGTACTGAACTAAGATGGGTGGCAGTTTGACAGATGGAACAGTGACACTTGGAAGGGAGGTGTACAGGCCACCTGGCAGGGCTGCAGTGCTGCTTCTATCTGGGATTCAAGAGCTGCCACCTGGAAAGAACTGTGAGAAGCGTGTGGGGTTTGATCTGGCCTCTAATAGAGTATGGATTATTTTAACCACTAATCCTGTCATGTCTACTTGTTATTGTCAATGTAATATGTATACGAATCTAAGAATTACTAAGAGGATTTAAAGGTAATATTCAAAAAAGTCTTGAAGAACATATTAAAGTATCCAGTGTCATATGCCACAGGAGAAAGTAGCAGTAATTGTGCTGATTCTTTATGGCTATAGTTTTCCCTTTATTTACATGGAAGACTTTAAAAGACATCTGTGACTGTAACCTCCCATAGTGAGTTGCTTGTTCCTCAAGGATACCTGGATGTAGCTTTTCTTAAATAAAAACAAAATTTTGAGTACTGTCGTAGCAGGAAGTTTACAATAGACAAAAGGAGGTATCATGTGTAGTCATTTTTCCATTAACTTGATCTGTTTGGCTTCTCCCAGACTTTTGAAGATAATATAAGAAAAAACAGGACTGTGATTAGTAACTGGATAAAGTATGCACAATGGGAAGAAAGTCTAAAGGAGATTCAAAGGTAAAATTATCAAGAGTGAAATTTTGTATATATAGATGTCATATACTAACACATATAAAAAAATCAAGAAGAAATTATTGCTGAAAGTGTAAGTTCATGTGCAAAGATCGCATACATTAACAGATTAAAAAGGAGGAAAAGTTAAGGCACGAGTTAAAAAGTATGCCTGTGATGGCAGTTGTCAGCTTGTGTTCCATAGAACCCCAGGGTTCTCTGAGAAGCCTGTGAGGCACTAAAATGATGGTCCAGGGGAGGAGGCAGAAGGGTCTTGCCCGCACACTATACGTAGAGAAGCACGAAATTGCTTTTGTATTTGTCGGCTTTCTGAATTATTGAGATTTTAAAAATAAGAGTGCTCTGCTGAAAACCAACAGCCCATGAGATAAAAATTACAACCTGGCCCCTTCCTGTTGTTCAGCCTTTCTGGATTCACCCCCATCTCTGTGCTTCTGCTGTGCCTGGGCATCTGCCACTCCCTGAACCCATAATTCCTCCTGCCGTGACACTGGCTGTACTCTGCGTGCAGTAGCACCCTTCCCTCCAGCCAGGGATGTAGCTCAGTGATACAGTGCCTGCCTGGCAAGTACAAGGTTCTGAGTTCAGTTCCCAGTACAAAAAAAAGTTCTTCACCAGCATGGGCCTCCTGGCCAGCCCACATCTCCTCAAGTTCACTCCTAAGACTATTCCTCCAGATATCTCTTCTTTCATTCTGTTTCCTGTGCAGATCTGACGGACATGTTTATTACACTGTGTTATATTTGCATGCTTGTTTGTCATTCTAGTGGACTTTGTAAGGTACTGGAGAACATCCTATCTGTGCATCTTTTATCCCCAGAGCTGAGCTTGTGGTAGATACCCAGTAAGATGCAGTTAGCTTTAAAAAAAACTGCTACATATGTTATATGTACTGTTTCTTATGCCCTCCAAATCTTCTTTAAGGGCTCGATCCATATACGAGCGTGCTTTAGATGTAGACTATCGAAATATCACACTGTGGCTGAAATATGCAGAAATGGAAATGAAGAATCGGCAAGTCAACCATGCCCGAAACATCTGGGACCGGGCCATAACAACTCTGCCAAGAGTCAACCAGTTCTGGTAAGTTTCTCATCTCACCACACAGCCCTTATAGACTAGAAAAGTTCTACACTTCTGTGTATCTATTTTATTTACATAGTTATCATCACTGTGTGTGTTTAATGTCCTACTTTTTCTTTAAATACACTCTAAATGCTTTTTAATGTCTCATAAGTCTATTAAGTAATAATCCTAATGTTTAGTAGTTAAGTCATCAAAGCTAAAACTTTGTAATCTTTTGTGCATAAGAAACATCTGGTTGAGCTATGCAATTTTTAAGAAAAAATGCCCTTTTTACCCCAATGGTACGTCCTTTTTTAGATTTATGTTTAAATAGGAAAACATGTTTAAGGTTAGGCCAGATGATAAAACTTTGCTCTTTCTCCTGTTTAACAAAGCAAAAACTAGAGATTCCAGAGATCGTATTTCCCCAAGTCGCTCTGACCCCTGTTTTCGGGGGGGCTTTGTCACAGGTACAAGTACACATACATGGAGGAGATGCTGGGCAACGTGCCCGGCGCCCGGCAGGTGTTCGAGCGCTGGATGGAGTGGCAGCCCGAGGAGCAGGCCTGGCACTCGTACATCAACTTTGAGCTGAGGTACAAGGAGGTGGAGCGGGCCCGCACCATCTACGAGCGCTTTGTCCTTGTGCACCCTGACGTGAAGAACTGGATCAAGTACGCCCGCTTTGAAGAGAAACATGCTTACTTTGCGCATGCTCGGAAAGTGTACGAGCGAGCTGTGGAATTCTTTGGAGATGAACATATGGACGAACACCTTTATGTCGCCTTTGCCAAATTTGAAGAAAATCAGAAAGAAGTAAGTACTTCAGAAACTTGATTACATTGCAGGGCAACTTGGAAAAGGGGACATTGGGTGTTCAGGGAGTTGTTTTCCATTCTCTGTTACTCACTTCTCCTTCTAGGGCACATAATTCCATAGAGAAAACAGCATACATACGTAGCGGGGTGCAGACTGGGAGCGGAGAGTTTTACAGTGTGTTGTAACTGTCTGACTTCGTTCTTTGTTTGAAAGTTAAGCCTTCAAACTTGGGAGAGGGAGTATGATCAGACAGGCGTTAGACTTTATGGAAAGCCTCTGGCTGCCTCATGGAGAGTGTGTCCGGCAGGGGACGCAGGCAAGACCAGGGGATCCTGTTGAAGTGGTTTGGCGTAGAATTATTTCAATATATGTGCTGACTTGTTTCATTTTTAGTACTAGTTTATTTTAGTTGGTTGAAAATAAAATTTGTTATATTTGTTTCTTTTTTGTCAGACTCTTCCTTTTATGTCTTGTACTGCTTTGAAGATGATAGTGTAGTAACTTGTTATTCTCTTATTATTTGGTTACAAAATTTTGTTTTTTCATAAAATGAAAATAGAGTGAGATCAGTGGGGACAGGGAGGATAGCACTGTGTTAAAGAGTGGGAGGACTGAAGAGGGGAGGGAGAAGAGGACGCAGAGAGGACTCCCGGGCGTGGTGTGCGCGTGTGTGACTTCTGGCGTCGCGTGCTCAGACTGGGAAGCCCCCGCCGGGTGGGGAGGAAGATCAGCCGGGTCCTGTTAAGAGCTTTGCCCCAAACTTCCAGCTGGCATCACTCGGCAGACAGCATCACTCAACTCTAGGAGCTCAGGGATAGTGCAGCCCTTCCTGGCAGAAATACCTTCAAGCAGACAAAAGAGAAGTCTCATCTCGCCCCTAGCATCTGGCTTCGAAGTTGCGTCAGATGGTGGTGCAGTCATTCTCCAGGCTGTGACTAGAATGAGCATACTATGTCCTGGACACTAACCATGACGTCTCTTTTAGTTCGAAAGGGTGCGCGTCATCTATAAGTACGCCCTGGATAGAATACCGAAACATGAGGCCCAAGAACTCTTTAAAAATTACACCATCTTCGAGAAGAAGTTCGGCGACAGGCGGGGCATTGAAGACATCATCGTGAGCAAGCGGAGGTTCCAGTATGAGGAGGAAGTGAAGGTGGGCGCAAGGGGAGGGAAGAGGCTGGCGGTGAGGGTGGTGGAATAGCAGGTGGGGGCTGCTAGTGAGGCCCTGCTGGCGGTGCATCTGGCTGACGGGTAGCTCCTTCAGACAAGGTGCTGGAGAAGGCACATGGGCCCTGCTTGGATGTGCTCTGCCACTCAGTGTGCTTGCTGACTTCGTACTATGGAGCACAAGCAAATGCAGGGTAGACCTGAGGTCAGTTGTGGAAGAAGGTGGAGTGGAAGCATCACAGTTGATCCCAAACCCCTGGCCTAACTGCAGAGTAAAAAATGCTTGCTAGCTCTGGCCCCATTCCCAGCTTTACCTGTAATGGACTTCTCATTTTAGTTTTTCTTCACTGTTCCGAAGCAAAACACTTTTGCTTACCAGATGAATTTCGGTATCTCCAAGCACAGGACTGAGGCTGGGGCTAAATCAGGGCGTAAGTGAGCGAGATACACTCAAGAGAAGTCACTATCAGTTGGAAAACCAGGGTTCACAGTTATGAGCATGGTATAATCCATTGTCATGTTATAAATACAGTGTAATTATTTATATAAACAAATACATTAATATTTAGATAGGTGTCTTGTTGTTGAGTAGTCGGTCATCTTGGGAGTCGTGGCACTAAAGCAAGGCTTTGCTCAGGGACTCCCAGCCCGTGACCTGCCTTCTATGTGCCTTTTTCTTTTCTGTTTATCCAGTCTCAGGAGTGGTGTTTTTAAAGTGAGAAATTGGGTAAAACCTAAGGAACAAATTACTAACTAGAAAGAGACTCCACTCCTCTTTTCAGCTTACATAGCTGGCAGGAGAGCTCTTGGTTTCATTTCACTGATGAGCTGCTTGTCTTCAGGCGAATCCACACAATTACGACGCATGGTTTGATTACTTGCGCCTGGTGGAAAGTGATGCCGAAGCCGAAACTGTGCGCGAAGTCTACGAGAGAGCGATCGCCAACGTCCCGCCCATCCCGGAGAAGCGACACTGGAAGCGCTACATCTACTTGTGGATCAACTATGCACTCTATGAAGAACTGGAGGCAAAGGTGAGACGCTGCTGCCCTTGGACTCAGCTCCCCTCCTGGGGCAGGTAGCAGTGCTAGTTACAATCCTCAGAAAGCAAGGAGTTTGCACGGAGTTGTAAATCCTTCTAAGCCTCTCTCTGTGACATTGTAGACTCTCTGTGCCTATTCTGGGTAAAGGCAGAGGGTTTGGGTTTATTTTGTTGTTTAAACCTTGAGGCACAAGATGCCATCTGGAATTGGAAAGAGATCAGTGAACCAATTATGTGGTTTCCTGGGTGTTCTCATAAAAAAGGACCACAGCTAGATGCCATATTTTTGCTTTCAGTACAAAATTAAGTGACATTTTCAGAAATTGGCTAACAGTTAAAGATTAACCAACCTCCTCCTCTTGATACTGGGCTGTAAAACACCTTTGTTTCTTTCTATCAGGCAGAAGGCCTCTCTGCTCAGAAGCACTCAGTTTGATGGCTTCATTGTTGGTGATTCTTAAAGCCAGGTTTGATGGCCAAAGGCAGCTCACACTTGTGACTATAAACAGAGTCAGGGCTTGGCAAGAGCAACTTGAGCAAACATTCAGTGTTGGGAGTGTACATTTTTACAGGCATTCATCAAATTAATAGAATTAGTCTTAGCAACAACCTTCAATATTTTGTGAAATTTTCTTACCCTGATATAGGATCCTGAAAGGACAAGACAGGTCTATCGAGCCACTCTGGAACTAATTCCACACAAAAAGGTATGCATGCTTGAATGTGTTGAGTCTTAACCCAGACATTTCCCCCAGTTTCCTCCTTGGAAATGTCTACATGACATTTGACTTAACCCAAAATCTTCTGGATACATGTGAGTGAAAGTGTTTATTGACTACTTCCCTGTGTTTGGTGCCATGGAAAACCTAAATAAGAATGAGGTGCGCTCCTTAGCTCTGAAAATAGCGAATAACAGGGCCAGTCCTGCAGCGTTAGAGGAAGAGGGCAAAGGTGAATGGCCAGAGCGTGAGGAGAAGGACACACTACAATGTAGGTGGAGACACAGCGCAGGGTTACAGGTAGCAGAGTGCTTGCATGTGTGGATGAACGGGTGCCCTTTCCAGGGGCTGAGATGTCAGCCCTGCCATGTTTCCCAGCAGGAGAGAGGAAATGTGTTCCCTGCTCTTAGAGATGTCCCTAAGCTACCTTCCTGAGATGGAGGCAGGATGTTCTGCCTGCCCAAGGTGGCCCATATAACAGGGCCCTGTCTGAGTAGAGGCTGCTGCATTGTGACATACAGTAACATCAGTCTTTTTGTGTTTTTGTTTTCTAGTTCACGTTTGCCAAAATGTGGTTATATTATGCACAGTTTGAAATAAGACAGAAAAATTTACCATTTGCCAGAAGAGCTTTGGTAAGTAAATATCAAGATGCCTCATAAAATTCTATGAGAAGGGCCGGGCATGGTGGCACACACCTATAATCCCAGCACTTGGGAGGCTGAGGCAGGAGAATCCTTGCAAGTTCGAGGCCAGCCTGGGCTACAAAATGAGCTCAAGGCCAGCCTGAACTGCGTAGTGAAACCCTGTCTCAAAAAGACAAAAAAAAAAAAAAAAAAAAAAAAAAAAAACAAGAAAAATTCTGTGAGAAGGAAATTAGAATCCTAGTGCTTACAAATTTGTCATTCCTATTTAGAAAACAACAGACATTTATATTTTTATAGCCAGGGATATGTTAGAAAACATGCAGTCCCTGCAAAAAAGGTGGCAATACTCGAATCATTTCAGTTACCCAGGACAAGTAAATGTTCTCTCTGAGCCTCCTTGGAAATGTCTATAGCTCTGTTACAAGGTCTGTCCTCAGACTAATCTGATCCTGTGCAGAAAACGGTGGTATATGAGAAGCACCTTTCTCTTGCTAACTGTTCACCAATTTTGAAAGAGGTCAAATACTAACAGGTTAATATTATCACTTAGTTATCATCAACTGATTAGGCCCACAGTCTCTCAAAGGAGTGGATAGCAAAGGCTTAAATAAAGGACAAGTGGTATGACTCCACTTTTAGGGCTCCAGGAGGATCAAAACCCTCTAGCAGAATTTGAGATTCTCTTGAGCTGAGACCAAGAACTTCTCTGGGTGGCCTGTATTTATTTGGTTACACAGAAGAGGGATACTGAAGAAAGTGCAGGAATCTGAGCAGGACCTTGGGAATCAGTTCAAGGACTTCTCCAAGTAGTACATTAATTTAGGAAAACTATGTTATCTCCAGGAAGGGGTTCACCACGGGAGTGAGATGCCTGCAGCAGCAGTCTCTAGTTAATTGAAGTGGAGGTGTCCTCAGCTGGGGACTAGTCCTTTGAGGCTTCCCGGCATCACAGGCCACTACAGGCCTCAGCTGGGACCAGTGACTCACAGAGATTCACTTACTATGAGTCCACTGTCCATCTCCAGACAAGGGGCTGAGGCCTTGAACAGACTCACAAGTAAACATGGAAAACCAAGTGGTTAATTTTAAATCCTGCTGAGAGCTATTTTGTAGTGGTCTCACATCAAAATACTGTTTAAATACAGTGTTCTTCACAAAACCCACTCACATTGGACTTGGACAGGAAGTCAGGTCTGTTCTTCAGTTACCTTTTTATTTAAAGGGAGTTTTTCATACATGAAATGCATGTTTCCTAGGGAAACTGAGTTTAAATAAGTTTAAATAAACTGGAAGCCTTGCCTCTCACTAGCTATGTACCAGTGAGCCTGGGCCTTCTTGTGGGCTGCATGCATGAAGAAGGTTTCCTGCGGTCTTTTGTCCAGACCAACAGCGCAGTGGATGCAACAGAATGGCCTGCCATGGTGCCCTGCAGGCACATCCTCAACAGTGGACGGCCCCTGTCTAGGACGGAGACAGTGACAGTGCCTGTGCCCATCGACCCCATTAAGACATCACAGTGGCCTGGCCATTTTATTTTCCAGGGAACAGCCATAGGCAAATGTCCAAAGAACAAGTTATTTAAAGGTTACATAGAATTGGAGTTGCAGCTTCGAGAATTCGACAGATGCCGGAAGCTGTATGAAAAGTTCCTGGAATTTGGACCTGAAAATTGTACCTCCTGGATTAAATTTGCAGAATTGGAGACCATCCTCGGTGATATTGACAGAGCACGGGCCATCTATGAATTGGCCATCAGCCAGCCACGCCTAGACATGCCCGAGGTGAGGGTCTTGGAATGTTTTGTTTTAGCCAATTCTGTTGTGGTCCTGTGGCTAGCCATCTAAATGTGCATTTCAGGTGTAGAGATGTTCAGCTAATCTACGGTCACTCCCGTTGGAGTGGGGGTTGCTGTTCATAGGATAGGAAGGTAGATAGCCAGGATGAACTGGTATATACAGCTAGCTCCCTCCCTCCCCTGAGAAGGCTAAAGGGAGGGGAAGAGGCCCGGGCATGGCAGCCTCACCTGGAGACAAGGGGCTGGGTTGAGGAATGCACAGATATCCTCGCTTTTCCCGAATTGTGCCTACAAGAGGCTCCAGCTAAGCCCTGCTATTCCTGGAACTACTATTATTGCCATGTTCTGGAGTCCCAGCCCAGCAGTGATTTAGCTTGAGCCACACGGTGGCGCCAAACCACCACTAGAGCCTACTTGAATCTCACCAGCAAACAGAATCCACTCAGCCTTACTGTATCTTAACTGATGTTCCCTCGCATTGAACGACTCAGGCCCCCCACCACAGCAGGCCAGGGCCTTGTGTACTGCAGGCCCCAGCTGTGGGCCTCGGGGCTCCAGCCAGCCCGGTCCCAGGTGTCCAGGCCACAGCTCATTCAGCCTTGCACCCTGACAGGCTGTACCTAAGAGGCAGGCAGCTGTTCAGTGAACATTTCATTGAGTTGAACTCAAATAACAAGGAATTTCCACAGAGGTAAGAACATATATACCGGCTAATCTGAGCCTAATGCTCCTCTGAAGTTAACTGTGTGTGGCAGGATCATGAAAGTACCCCGGAGACTCAAATATCTCAGCCTTTTTTGAGTTGAACATTTGAAAAACTCCTAAAAGAACCTAAAACTGAATCCAAGAACTCCTTCCCTATACCCTGGAATGCTGGCCATGTTTTTGGGCTGGTGTTCAGTAAAATTCTCCTCCTGGTTGTAGATGGTAGTTAAGCTGTGTTTTGGATGAGACATGTTGCCTTCTGAATCGCAGGGCTGACCTATTCAGTTGTCTTCCTTAGGTGCTTTGGAAGTCATATATTGATTTTGAGATCGAGCAGGAAGAAACTGAAAGAACACGAAATCTTTACCGACAGCTGCTCCAGCGGACACAGCATGTCAAGGTATCCTGTGCTTTGTAGATTGTCTTTGGTTTTGCTTCAGTCAGCAGTACTAAAAAAGATACTGTATTTCTGAATTTTCTTGCTTTTGAAAAGAACCAGTGAGTCCCGGGGGACTTTGGGATGTTGAGCTTATCCCAGGTCGTTTGAGTATAGTGTGTGTGAATATCTTGGATATCACACGATAGAGAAGATAAATTCTTTCCAGTATCTTGAGGCTGTGTGGCACCTACTTCTTATAAAAGCAAGATTGCTTCAGTACTCAGTAATGAAGCATTATTCACTGTCAAACATTAGAAATGAACATGTTCTGTTTGGAGGTCATGAACTAGAAATTAACCTTTTTATTATTGTTGTATCATTGTGGTTAATTTGGTTCCAAAATAATTATTTTTAAGGTATGGATCAGTTTTGCTCAGTTTGAATTGTCTTCGGGGAAAGAAGAAAGTGTTGCTAAATGCAGACAGATCTACGAAGAAGCTAACAGAACCATGCGGAACTGTGAAGAGAAGGAAGAGAGGCTCATGCTGCTGGAATCGTGGCGAAGCTTTGAGGATGAATTTGGAACCGCGTCAGATAAGGAGAGAGTGGACAAACTCATGCCGGAGAAAGTCAAGAAGAGGAGAAAGGTCCAGGCCGATGACGGGGTAAGAGCTGAGCCCTGGAATCCAAGGCTTCCGACTTTCACACCTGTACTTTGCAGGGCCTTCTATGGCCTTACCATGCGAACTGATAGCCAGGAGCAGGACACAGTTGGGATGGACTGGAAGGGTTGGCAGAGGCCTCTGGGTGATGCTAGAGCTGGGAGGTCCATGCAGTTGGTATTTGTTTCTACAGCAATAGCAGGAAGTCTGCAGCAGGAACTAGGCTGTGCCTTCAGCAAGGAGCCAACACGCGAGGGTGGCTTTGTAGGCAGGCAACAGGAGGGAGGGTGGTGGGAATCATCACAGGCTTTCACGCGTGAAACAGCATGGCCTGCCACTGCTGGCAGCTCACACAGTGGATGTGAGGGGGTAGAACTGGAAATTCTGTCCGAGGCTGTTTGTGAATGCTAGGCAGGCAGGCCAAGGCGGGGCAGTGTCGAAGTCATATGGGTAGGCATTTGGAAGTAATGCACGCATTTAAGACTGTGCTCCTGGATAAATGCTCCATAAAACTTTAAGCTTTTTAACCCTTAAACACAAGACTGCAAGATGGCATTGGAGGCACTATCTTGATTGACTATGGAGGAGCCCTGCTTAGCTTCCACTGGGTTTTCAGTTCCCTCCGGGGAGCACCACTGACAGACACTGCTGTCCAGCGGCCGCTTACTCTCTCCCAGTCCTTCAGGCCCAGCTGTTGCTGCTTCTATAGGTTTTCGTGTTGTTTTGTAAAATGAGGACAAGTGGAGTCAGAAGTGTGAAACCTGAGTGTTTGCTTACTTTTGTTTTGTCTCTGCAGTCTGACGCAGGCTGGGAAGAATACTATGACTACATCTTTCCCGAGGATGCTGCCAACCAGCCCAACCTTAAGCTGCTGGCCATGGCCAAGCTCTGGAAGAAACAGCAGCAGGAAAAGGAGACTGCTGAGCAGGATCCAGATAAGGACATTGATGAGAGTGAATCCTGATCTTTTTCATACTGATAAATGTTTTGTTATTTTCATAAATTAATAGTTTGCAGCACTTGTGACTCCTGGAAGTTTTTATATTCACTAGTAAGAATTGCTTGGAATCTTCCGGCATTTTTGAATTATTTTTAAAATGCTTTTGGGCTCACTGGGGGATTGCTGGACTTCTATGATTCTACACCTCTGTTTGCCCACACCCTGCCTTAGGAAATGTAATTGAGGTAATGCTCACCATCTTATAGATGGGCCTGCAGACTTCCCAGTCTTAAGAAAGTTTTCGGGTTACACTCTGATTTTTCAGGTGCAGTTTTCTCTTGATTACCTGTTTCCTAAAGATGTTATGCATTCATTTGAAACCTCTAAATTTACTGCCTTCACCATCACAGACTGGAGATTAGTTCCCAACACTGCGCACAGTGGTGGTGTATCCTGCCTTTGTTTCCTCACTTGTAAAATGAGCCAGTACTGTGACAGCACATTTTGAAGGTTAGAAAAGGAATATACGTGGTGTAGCGCAAATGTTCATTGTTCCCTATTTCGAAGTATGTTCATTCTTTGTAGAACTGAATGCACTTAGATTAATTCTTAGCATCTAAATATCCTTACCTTTTAATAGTATCAGTTATACTTCGGGCTTTTTAAAACACTGCTTGGATAGTAATTTGTAGTGCCTGTATTTCTGAAAAAGGTTTTTTTTTTTTTAACCAAGAATATTTTCCAGTTTATGTTAATACCCAAACTGGTTGGGCATTGTAATAGCTTGCTTAAGGAACAATGGCTTGTTTAAACTTCTTTATACATTTGCTGTAAAAACTGATGTCCCATCTTCAAATAAGTTTGGGAACTCCTAGATTCAACTTTATACAGTTAATTAAGTCTCCTTATAATTGGACTTCCTGGAGCCTTTGATATACCTCTGTACACTCCATCTCCGCAGCAGTGCTGCCCAATGGACCGTTTGCCGTGCTTCGTGGAGCATGCAGGTGTTTCTACTCAGAATCTGTTCCCTCCCAGTGTGCCACAGTGCGGGCTGTCTGCTCATGACTCCTGGCGTGCTCAGTGGGCCCTTGGCTTAGAGCATGTGGACAAATACCCAAGGGGCCTCTGCAAAACGGTGACATGAATGCAAGTGAGAGTGCTAACAGATTTGCTAATACTGTGCTCACATTCTCCAGCAGAAAAACTCACCTGAAATTGTTTCCTCTAACCTGCCCTGTATTTTTCCAATAGTTTTTTTGTTTTATTCACTACCAAAGAATAGAATTGTATTTTTAAGACTTTTTTCCCTCTCAGCACCATTAGTGAGCAAATATATTAAGTATGAAAATATTTTCATCCAAAGGAATAAAATGTAAATTCTGTCTTGAAAATAAGATGGTGTTTGAGGGCAGAAAATACAATTCTTCACATTAATCTTTTTGGCCTCTCTGCTTTAGTTATTGGCCTGTTGGGTGTGCTGGTGCACGCCTGCAATCCCAACACTCAAGAGGCTGAGGTGTGAGGATCACCTCAGGTTTGGGGCTGGCCTGAACTATATTGCAAGACCCTATCTCAAAAAAAAAAAAAAAGGTCACTGGCCTGGATTCAGGCTTGGGGTGTCAGTGGTTCTATCAAGTACTAAGTTTTTGGTCAGTGAGTAGGACAGTCTGATTTAATATCCTTTGTGAGTATGCAGTGGCAAGGGGTGAGATGAAAATAGTAAATCCCGATCGTCCTATGCCTAACATCATCTGTTTATGCAGCATGGCTATGTAAGAGGAAGGTCAGTGATCAGTCACATCGCCACGAGTGAGAACTAGTGTGTGCTTGTGTGCACATAAAGGATTCATTTTTCCCATCCTCAACTCCGCCAAAACAAGCTTCCTAAAGTAAAAGACATGACCCATTCCATGTGCACTCTTGTTACGCACTCGATACTTTCACCTGTTGTGAAAATACACGGCTATCATAAAATACACTGCTTATGATATAGCAACTCATACATGGCGAGTATGAAGAACAACTTTAAGAATGACTTTTTTTGCTTCTTTTAAAACAAAAACAAACTCAAGTTTTTCTGTTTAAGAAAGACAGGATTTAAGCAAACTACTGAGAGAGGAAAAAACAGTTCAGGACCAACAGTATGAAAATAAGTAACTGGGAAGAATTTACATGCAATAAATTCAAATGTCCTGGACAGGGATTATTTCTAATACGCACTTAAAAAATGTTTTGTATAGCAACAGTGTGAAAAACCATACATCCTAAAGAGTGAGTTTTTACAGACCTGACTTAGTTATATGAATGACCAACAAATGTCCCGGACACACTCAGTTGGCAATGTCTTTTATTAGACGTTTTAGATTTATACATTTCATATATGCTTTTAAAGCTTCAGTTGACAGTTCAAAACAAAATAAATACGTATGTGCAGCAGTGGCTCTCAGGCACAGAACTGAGGAGGTCGGAGCAGTCTTCCCCTGGCACATGGTGGACACTGTGAGTGACGACAGTGGAACTGTCCTGATCTAGTGGCCTTCTTGACTGAATTTCATTATGGCGAACAGCTTTAATAGGTGGGATACTGCTAACTGGAAATGAGATTTAAAATACACTTTATAACCTATATTTTCTTGAAGTTTTAAAGACCTAAATGATACACTTTTCTCCTAATCCAAGAGCTCCAAGGTCACCCAATGAAAATAATATTGTCCATAAACTACCAGCACATCAATCTGCCTAAGAGCCACTGCCCAAGGTTATTCAATGTCTTCAGGTCTCACCGGGTGGGGTAACGGGATGATGGATTTCTTCTCTGTGTCCCTGGAAAGCGCTTTCCTCATATCTGTGGCAAAGCAGGGTTTAATGTAAGCACCCAAACAGCAGAGCATTCTGTCAAATTTAAGATGTTTAGGAAAAGCCCCCAACTTCCGCCAGATTTTAAGGGAAATGTTTTAACTTAGTGGGCTGTGGGCAGTGCTTACCATAGGCATCCTCGTCCGGCTCCCCATTGCTGGCTGAGTAGTATTCTATGACCGTCCGGTACACGCTGTAGCCCAGCTGCTTATACATGTTGACTGCAACCTGGTTAGACACTCTGACGAAGAGATCAACGAAAAATCCACCCTTTCTTTAAAGACAAAAAGACATGGCAGAATGTCAGAGCCTAAAGAAGTAATGGCTACATACTTCTATAAAAACATCTTTTTCTTTTGCTTTGAGTGGTAGTAAAAGGGTCTTGCTGCTGACTACATCATAATAGTAACTTTTATTGTTCAGGATTTATGACAGTTATTTTGTGCTTTAAAAAAATGCATGTCTTATGCATTTGTCAAAAGTTGTTATTACGTGTTTTCTTAAAAGATAAATCAAAACATTTTTTACAATTCTGCGCACTGGTTTTTTTAAATGACTACATTTTATGTCAAAGCAATTGTCACATGCATTTGCATAGCACAGGACGTGTTCACTGCTGTTGAGATGGGAATGCGCTGAAGCCCAGGTGCAGGTACCAGATGCTGGGCTCTCCGGGCTGTGTCTTTGGCTTGCTCACCTGGAGGGTTCCACATCTGACTCTGGAGACTGTTACCTCCCCACTTCCTGCAATAGATTTCCCACATTTTACAGCTGGGGTCCTCCTTATGAACTAATTAACAGAATCGGACTTTGCATTCCTGTCATTTGTTTCTCGCAGTCAGTATTGTGTGTCAGCCGCCTGAGTGGCTGGAGCTTATTCATCTTCCATCACACAGACAAAAAATACAGCATGTGTTAAAATTATCTCGATGATTCCTCTACAACACCCCCCGCCAACACACTCTTCTTGATCCTGCCATTTTCTGAAGCAGTTCTGGAAGTTCTCCTTCCTGAGTCTTTAGTTGTGCTGTCCTGGCTGCTTCTAAGTTCTGAATCAGTTTTTGTTTGTTGGTTTGTTTTGGTACTGGGAGTCAAACTCAGGACCTTGCGCTTGCCAGGCAGGCGCATATGCCACTGAGCTATATCCCTGGCCCTCTGAATCAATTTAAAATGTTTCCTTTTCATGGTCGTTTTGATTTAGGGAAGAGCCATATGTCACATGGCACCAGATCCAGTGAGGACACAGTGTCACGTCATTACAAGCCTGCCTTTCCATTAGATGGCAGTCAGCCATAGCACTCACCTTATTTTTGATAACTCCTCGTAAAGATATGAAAAAACTTCCAACACTGCCTCAAAGACAGGCCAGAGCAATGGGATAAAGTGTGTGAAGTGAGGGCAATTAATGACAATGTCTTTTACTATTGTTTTAAAATTTAATGTTCGCTGTTTTCGATCACCCCCTGTACCGATCCACAGTCCCATCAGAAAACCTTCCCAGCCTCTCCTGCTATCAGCCACCCACACTGCCACGGACACTTATGTTGAGCATCTTGTTGCATGGTGCAGTTCTCAGGTCTCCAGCGGGGCAGCCACTGCCATGACGGTACGCACACCTCCAGCCTCATCAGAGGATGCCGACCTGTCTTCCAACCTGCCTGCACCACCCAACATCCCACACGGTGGCTGAGTCTCCACTCCTGCAGTAGTGAGGCTGGTGCACTGGACGTTTGTTCTTGCAGTCTTATGGTGTAATGGCATCTCAGTGTGACTAGAATTTGCATTTCCTTTTTTTTTTTTTTAAAGTACTGGGAATTGAACCCAGGGCCTTCAAACTGAGCTACTTCCCTAGCCCTTTTATTTTCAAATGGGGTCTTACTCAGTCTCTAAGTTGCCCAGGCTGGACTCAAGTCTTGATCCTCTTGCCTCAGCCTCAGTGTGCTGGGATTACATGTGTGCACCTGCCTTGCATTTCCGATTACTAATGAGGCTGAATATATGTGTTCACTTACCATTTGGATTTCTCCTATATAGTACTACTACTTCTCACCATTTGTCGTTCTCTATGTATTCTGGATATTGCACTGTGCATCTTTCCTCAATTTGTGGCTTGTCATTATCTTTATGGTATCTTTCGTTGAACAGTTACTCTACTTTGTTAAAGCTGAGTATGAGTCTTCCCTTTACACTCAACACCTTTTATCGCCTAGGGAAGGGGTTCTATCTACCCTGAGATCAGAGAGACTCTCGCATGTTACATTCTCAGAGCTTCCGACTTTTGCTCGTCACATCAAAAATTTTCGTGCATCTGAAACTGACCTGTGTATGCCAAGTGGAGAAACCAGCAAACATCCCCGTGTAGGCAGCCTATACTGAAAAGGCTGTTTCTACACCATGGACTGCAGGGCCACCCAAGGTGTATCCAAATTGCCTATCCTTGGGCCTGTTTCTCATATTGTGTTCTGCTGGTCCTCCCAGCTACCCAAGGCAGTCTCACTCACAACACACTGCTATCTGGAGGGGCAAATCCACTCATTTTGTTGTTCTAAGACTAGTTTGCTTATATGTTTTAGAATCAGCTGAAAAAGCCCCACCAAAAAAACACCTGGGATTTTGACTGCAATTGTATTGCACATGTGACCACCTGCAAGTTTTGCAATATCCCCCAATCCAGTCTCTCCACCTGTGTCAGCTATTTTAGTGTCTGTCAATAACCAAGTTTCAAAAACATCAGAGGACTCATACTCAGCGTGTATGACTTTTCTTAAACATGTAATTGTTAATGCCACTGCCATGCATCTTTTTCTGTATTTTATGGTTTTTGTATATTAAAATACAACTAATTTTATACTGCCTTATTTTAATAATCCTAAACATTTACTTGTAGATTTCTGTGTATTTCAATTTGTATGGTCCTATCTGTAAAGTATATCAGGTATTTTACTGTTTTTGTATATTAAAATACAATTGCTTTTATACTACCTTATTTTTAAACATTTACTTGTAGATTTCTGTGTACTTTCTATTTCTATGGTCTGTCTGTAAAATACATCATTTTTTGGTAGTTATTCTCCACTTCTCTTTCCTAGTTTGCTACAGTTTTTATCAAGAATAAATATTGGGGGCTGGGGATTTAGCTCAGTGGCACAGTGCCTGCCTGGCAAGCACAAGGTCGTGAGTTTGATTCCCAGTACCAGAAAAAAAAAAAAAACCCAAAAAACAAAAGAACAAAAAGCATAAATATTGAGTTATATCAAATTTACTACATTTAACATGTTCCTGCTGGCTTGAACCACCAGTGCCCCACACATGACTGTCCCATCAAGAAGCCTTATACCACTGGTAGCACCAAAGGACCTACTCATGTTTATTGGTCTTTTTACTTTTACTAATAAAAAGCCACCCAATGGGACAGTTGTGCATGGACCACCAGTGGTTCAAGCTGCCTGGCACAAAACCATACAAATTTCGGCTCCTTTGTGAATGTGTTAATGAACTAACAGTCTTCGGTCTGAAGTTCAAACACCCCTGCTCCTGATGCTTCCTCCTCCTTAGGCATCGATTAGCCTGTCTTGCTGTGATCCTTCCCAGATTCCTGCAGCCAGGGAGATTTCCTCACATCTTTCCTTCCCATATTTTTTGGTCAGGAAGTGTTATCAAGGTTACCACAGCCTTAACACCAAGCTGCGGAATGCTCCCAGATACTTGTTCTTGTGTAAAAAGTGACCATTATGGCTTGTGTCTGGATGTCCACCCAAAGCCTCATGCAGCCATAGGTGGGGCTTTTTCAGAGGTGGCTGGATCTAGTGTGTGCCACTGAGATTGATTCATGGTGCAATGCTAGGCTCAAGGGCACTAGGCTTAAGGGTGTGAGTGCTACCCGCCCTAAGTAGGCTTTATAAAATATAAGGGCTTAGAAGGAACTGTGGTCATCCCTCGTTGCTTTGCTACCATCTGCCCACCATGAACTGTTTCTCCAGTGATGCCCCTCTGCCATGCCTCCCTACCTCGGAGCCAGCCAATTATGGTCTGAAACCTCTACAAATTGTAAGCCAAATAAATCTTTCCTCCTTCAACTTCAGGTGTCGGGGATTCCGTCTCACCAACGAGAAAGTAACTAAGACAGTGACGTAACAGTAGTTATTTCCTAAATATTTGTTGAAAAATTCTAGAGAAGCCCCATTTCTTTACAGAAAGAGATCAGGCTACTGACTGAAATCCTTTAAGGGCTTGCAACCTGTTTTTATATTGCCTTCGAGCTAAGGGTAGTTTCTACGGTTTTGATGGTCAAAAAAAGGAACAAAAGGAGTACACAGTAGACCTTGGTGGCCTGCAAAGCCTAAGTATTTACCGTCTGACCCAGGAAAGGCTTGCTGACCTTTGCTCTATACCCTTAGCCAATTGCCATCAGGTTTTTCTAGCAGAAAGAAGCATGTTCAAATCTCCCATTACAATAATTTGCCTGTCCATCCTTGTAGCTTTCTAAGTTTTGGATTTTTTACTTTGAACCTATGTCAATGAGTACATAAAAATTTTAATTGTTACTGCTTCTTGATGAATTAAATCTTTTCTCTATATACAGGTACGTTCTTTGCTCTGGTAATAATTATTCAAATACAATGTAACTATTATTACTGTAAGGCAGCAACTTTCTTTTGGCTAAGTTTTGCATGACAACTTCAAATTTTTCTTTACTTCCAATCTTTCCTTGTCTTGAATCTTTACACATATTTCCTACAAACAGAATACAGTTCTGACTGTCTTAACTGGAGTTGTTAGTCCATTAACATTTACTGTTGTAACTACTTATAATATCTGGGCTCACAGCTACAGTCTTATCTCATACTTTTTGTTTTACCGGCTTCATTTCCCTTACCTTTTGTATCAATGTTCATCATTCAGTTTTTTGTGTGTCCTCTGAAGTTATGTACTATTTCATTTTTAATATATACATTAAAAATACATGCATATAAGCATGTGTATGTTATGTATCTATACACACACTCATATAAGTAAATACCTTAAAAACCTTAGCAGCTGTCTTAAAATAATGAAGCTTCAGAATGTGGAAAGGAAAGGCAGTCAGTGGTTTTCTTCTCAAAAAGAGAAAATCTACAAATGTATTAAACCCTGTGTGCAAGGTCACAGTGGTCAGACCCACTTCCTATCTCCCTGTCCTGTACTCTTTTCCAGCAAGGATGTCACTAATGAGATGTGTAAGGTGTAAGGTGTAGTAAGGTGTAAGGTGTGTATCTTGTTAGAAAATTTCCTCCCGTACTCACTCTAGGGAGAACTTTAGAAAATCACAAAGCCCAGAGTGAACTTCCTTTTCAGCTAACACCATTTCTTTCCTCTCCTGATGGGCTCATGCTGCACACGGCTCAGTGTCTGTGGCAGTTACTTGTTTAAAACCCCTGTACATGAGGCACTATGTGGACACAACTCCAGGAGCCTCTGCTTCACCATGTTCTTCCCCAGCACACTCTCAGGCTTACACTGAAGAAGGACAGGGCAGCTTGACAAGCGCCAAATGCACACTGTCTATCCTCTTCTAGACCAGGCGGGAGATTTTTTTTTTTTTTTATCTTTTTGAGACAGGGTTTCACTATGCAGTTCAGGCTGGCCTCAACTCTTGGCGATCCTCCTGCCATGCACCACCATGCCCAGCAAGAAGCCTTCTTTTAACTGCTGGGTGACCTTGTATCACATAGAGAGGGCGTCAATGGATACAGAAGGCCTCTTTTATCTAAATGTCACACGGCGGCAGTTCCCAAACTATGTATTAAGGTTCTCCCAAATCAGAGGAGCCATAGGATATGTCCTATGTTCAAGGGGAAAAACAGCAAAACTTTGTCAGATACTGATATAGGTAAGGTAGTTAACAAAGTCAGTATTATGTCATGCTACATTCCTTTCAATACTATAGTATTTTTTTTCTGGGGGAGATCTTTTTGAGATAGGGTTTTGCTATGGAGTTCTGACTGGCCTTGACCTCACTTTGTAGCCCAGGCTGGTCTTGAACTCGCAATGATCCTCCTGCCTCAGCCTCTCGAGTACTGGGATTACAGGCGTGCGCCACCATGCCCAGCTTCAATGCTATAGTATTTTTATGAAGCTGAGTATCTGGCAGTTGGTGGGACTGAAAAATATACAAGTTGTGCCCAGGAGTATCAGTGGGACACTGAGGGCGGGTGGTGATCAGGAAGCTGTTTCCAAGGTCCAGAAGGCATCAGATGCCCAACAAGCGCACACACCTCAGGAATGGTAATCACAGTGAAAAATGAAATAAGCACATTTTATTTCAATATATTTGTTTTTTTCTAAGTGGCTACTAGCTGTTGGGCTATGAATACTGTACTTATTAAGCTTAAGACAAAGCTATTGGCCAGGGATATAGCTCAGTGGCATAGCACCTGCCTGGCAAACGCAGGTCCTGAGTTTGATTCCGGATACCAAAAAAAAAAGACTGAGCTATTTTCTCCTGCCCTGTGGATACTGTGAACCTACCACTGCCCGGGCGATGTGTGAAGCAGCCAGGGCAGAGACCACCACAGTGGGGACAGCACTTGGAGCAGCCTGCTGCAGGTGAGCCACATCCACCTTCCCCAGCCTGTGGGCCTCACGCGGCGCAGCAAAGCAGAAGCAGAGACGTGTGACAGAGCTTTGAGGCTGAACATGAAGTAAAACTGGGACAGTCGTCCAGCTGGGAGAGGAATCTTACAGACGTTCAGCAGAGCACAATGAGACAGGAGAGCGCGCGGGTCAGAGGTTGTACTGAAAAGCAGGATCTCACCTCTCCGAGATCTCTTCTAGTAACTCCATAAGCTTGGCGGCCAAACCAAGGCGCCGAAATTCGGGAGCAACAGACAGAGCTGTGACATGGCCATGCCACTCCTCCCTTGCGACAGAGCCTTCCGCTTTGCCCATGACTGCCAGCAAAAAAAATGGCACAGCAGTTAGACACGCCGACTTAGAACCACAGAACCACTCTTGGGGCATTTCTATGCCAAGGAAAGCTAACAGCAAACTATTCCTTTTCAGTATTACTCGGGGCCAGCCAGCTGATGAGTTGGTCCTTTTACTTGAAAATTCACTTGCCAGTGAAATGCTACATCCAGTTCTAGGATCAGACTTAAGAAAGGAATTTTTTAATGATATACTAAAACCACAACTAATTCTAAACAACCTGAATCTGTACTTTTTCCAATGTCTACATTTCGCGTGGACTTAAAGCTGTATCTGAGATAATTCACAGGTTTTGCCAGCCCTAGGCTACCACAGTGTCTACAACAATGAGGTCAGCAAGCTGCTGAGCGGTAGGAAAGGAAATAAACTACCAGCATCAGGCTGCTCCCTCTAGTCCTCCAGTCTAAAACAACCAACCCTACATTAGAATCAATTTGGGTCTTCCTACCCAGAACAGGACCACCGGGCAATACTCACTGTAGCCCATCAACTCTCCCCCAGGAGCCTCCGCCACGATGAAATACTCCGGCCAGTGGGCAAGGTACTGTAAGTAAAAGGGAATCCCATACTGCAGCGTGTTAAGGAGTAGCAAAGTTCCTTTGGAAAGCATATTAAGATGAATGTGGCGGTACACAACCTCTAATCCCAGCTACTCAGGAGGCTGAAGCAGGACAACTTTGATTTAAGGTCAACCCGGCCAACCTCGTGAGACACGCCCCATCTCAAAAATAAAAAGGCCTGCAGATACAGCTTAGTGGTGGCTGCTTGTCTAACACGTGCAAGCCGTAGGTGCAATCTGTAACACCAAAACACACAAACAAAAAATCTCCAGCACATTATTTCTTTATCCCTAGTTCTATACACACTGAATAATTTATTCATCACTTCACCCTCCAATCCTGGGTTGTCCTCACTGCTAGGTCCCGTTCCCGTACTTCCTCTCAGTGTAAACCCTCTGGTGCTTTCATGAGAACACACGATCAATCACACATTAAACAGAGTAAGTGCCAGGAAGCCTGCTCCATGTTGAGGTCCTACACTCTCCTCTGGAGGGCAGTCATGACTTTGGGAATTTTTCCAACACAACCCTCAAGAAGGCAGGCCGGCCAGTCTTCTGCCACCCAGCCTAACACACCATGACCATCTCCCTTAGAGAAAAATCCTGCCCCCACCTCTCTCACACCCCAAGTCAACCACAACATGGACAGCTTACTTTCAAATACAGACTGCATAACAAGCCCAGCAGCCCTCCGCACTGGGAGCAAGCGCTCTGCCACTGAGCTACACCCCCAGCCCTCGAGTAACTTTTTAAGTCCTTCATGAATACAACTTACTTTATTTAAGCATCCTTATTGTTATAAGCGTACTCCAAAATTTTAATTCTCCTGGAATAACTGTGTAATGATGTAACTCAGAGGTTAGCAAACTTTTTCTGTGAAGGGCCAGGCGGTGCCTGTCCCAGGCTCATGGGTATACATGGGTCTTGTGAACATCTATTCTGTCAAAGCCATAAACAATATGTAAATGAATCAGCATAAATAGGCCCCCATAAAATGTAATTTGCAAAACAAGCAGTGGGCTATATATTCAGCCCACGGACCTTAGTTTGCTAACCTCTAACATAAACTGCACCTATTATTATTTTCAAGAACTGGGGGGGCTGGGGATTTAGCTCAGCGGCAAAAGCGCCTGCCTGGCAAGCGCAAGGTCGTGAGTTCGGTTCCTGGTACCGGAGAAAAACCAAAA